ACTGCGAAGAGCAGCTTAAAGAACTTCCTAAGGGAAAAGAAAAGGGACTTCTCTATGGAGTTCCCGTCAGCTTGAAGGAGCACTTTGATTACAAGGTGAGGCTCCATTCTTCCTCAAGAGATCCCCTCCTCCCACAAATGGAAATTCCTTTATTATTCTGCTGATTATATATTTTTTATCCGTTATGTTAAGTGAAAAATTCAAACAAATATAAATGTATAAAATTAAGCTTTTTTCTACAACCAATTTACTAACCCAAGAGAACCAGACCTTTTTATTTTTATGCATTTATATGTACAATTTCATATATATATAAATAAGTGTGGTTACACTCCTGTTCCTCAGTCTGCAGTTTTGAACTAAAATGTATTGTGAACACCTTTCCGTACAAACACTTGTAGAAATATATCACCCTTTGAAGTGACTCCAGAGTATTCCATTATTTGAATATGTCATAGTTTACATAATGAAACCCCTATTGGTGGATGTTTACATTGCTTCCTTTTTTCTTTTTATTTTGTTGTTCCTTTTCTTTCCCTTTCTTTCTCCACTCACATAATCATTTCTTTGCATGAGTGATTCTCAGACTTTTTGGTCAGGACCCTTGTATTCTCCTAAAGTCATTGTTAAAAAAAAATTTTTTTTAACTGGCAGTGTGTAGTTGTGCAGAATACAATTACTAATACAGTTTGGTACCACTGCCTTGATTAATGTTAGGATATTAGCTATTTTATGCACCTTTGCTTTCGACCATTAGTGCAAATGTCGACACAGAACAAAAGACAAATGACATTTTAATATTATCATGAAAATAGTATTTACCTCACCAACTCCCTGTAAGACTCTGGGGGACCTCGAGAAGTCAATGGGTCACTTTGAGAATCATTGCCTTGGATAAATGACCAGAAATGGCATTTCTGTGTTAAATGGTATATTTCTATAATTTTATTTATTTATTTTTCCCCCAAAGCCCCAGTAGATAGTTGTATGTCATAGTTGCACATCCTTCTAGTTGCTGTATGTGGGACACGGCCTCAGCATGGCCAGAGAAGCGATGCGTCAGTGCGCGCCCGGGATCCGAACCCTGGCCGCCAGCAGCCGAGCGCGCGCACTTAACCACTAAGCCACAGGGCCGGCCCCTAAATGGTGTATTTCTAGATTGAAGGACAGTTCTATGACCAGATTCTTTGCTAGATACCAGCTAATGTAGGAACCAAAGAATCATAACCACAATTTATCTGAAGACATCTTCTCGAGTACTTGGCCCAGTGTGAGGAATATGAAGCAGAACCTTAACAGGATTCCCAGTGGAAAAAAAAAATCTGGATTTCTCTTTTTGCTGTTCCCAGAAGGTGGCATGGAGGGGAAGGTGAACACAAAGCTCTCTTTGGTGTCTGACTAAAACAGTATACCATTTTCCCTTCAAACACTTTCCTTTGTACCCCAAAGTTCATGCTTTCCGATTAGAAATCAAGATCCTCTACAACCTTACTTCAACCTACCTTTCCAGGCATACACCTTGTGCTCTTTTGCACATTCCTTTGCCTCAGCTAAACGGAAATATTCCCAGCTTTTCTAAGTGAGATACCTTTTCCTTCTCTTTGGTTGCTTTGTGGTTTCAGTCTGGTATTATCTGTTTGAATGAAACAAATCCTCTCTGTTCTTCAAGCTCATCTTAAAGAGAAATTCCATCTTATTTATGAAGGCTTTGTCATGGTCTCTACCAAAGTGAAGATATTTTGTAGAAAAAATAAGATTCACATACACAACAAATGGAAAATAGAACAAGACAACCTTTATTGCTACCTATCCTGCAACAAGTTTCTGCCTCTTAGTAGAGAAAGAGAACGCGCCATCTTCTCACATACAATGTAGGATATTAAAGGCCAGAAGCGTATATTATCTTCACGCCTCTATAGCTGGCCAATTTCTTGAATAAATTAAGGAAAAATGGTGCTTGAAGCTAGAGGAGTGCGAAGTTTATGACTGTACTACTGCCTAATTATATATGCCTCCTCTGTTTTGTATGAGTTTCATTTTCCCTAATAAATTCTTTAAATAGAGACTGTGAAATCTATTTCCACTGTATTCCACAGTATACGACACAGTACATACAAGATGGCATGATTTCTGCTTACTCGATATCTAGTCTCTGAGCTCTCATGTCTATAAGCTAAGTCAGGACTAGAATATTCATAAAACTAATTATTGGACACTTAGTGCTTAACCTGAGGGTAATTGAGAGAATGATGATTCAGCAGATCGTTAGTCCAGTGTAAAATTCTCAGGCTCCTATCTTGTTAAGTAAATAGCGTGATAGATAAGGGTATTGTGTCAATTGCCTGGGTTCAAATTCCACTCTAACACCATCTGTGTGACCTTATGTAAGTTTCTTAACTTCTCCATGCTTTGGAAACACAGAAAATAACCACAACTATTTATAGAATAATTGTTTGACTTCAAAGATTTAACACACATGAAAAGTGCTAAGAACAGTATCTGGTTTCTAACAAGTAATCACATATCGGCTAGTAGGAGTAACAGCAGTAGTAAAGCAGTCGTAGCAGTAGGACCAAGAGAGGATTCTCACCTTTGGTATTGTCCCTGCATGAAAACTCCAAACTAAAGGACCTTCAGGAGAGAGAATAATCACAGCCTGAAGCAACATTTTCCATGTCACGTCTAGAATAATTTTTACATGGTCATAGTAACTAAGTAAAAAAGATACAATCATCTTTAATGTTCATAATGGAACAGAGAGATCCTAGATATAAATCCATGGGATAATTTAACTTCCAATAATTCTGACTGGTTGCAAACCTTTTTATAATTCTTATCTTTCAATTAAAAAACAAAACAGTAAATGCTGAAGACAGATGCCCAGATAACCTTACCAATGCATGATCAGCCTCTGATTTAATAAATTAGCCAGTTAATAACTCAGAGGAAGCACAATGTTTTAAAGTGAAGTAAATTTAAGTTTTGGGGTCAGGCATTACATTTTATCTTCACCACTTATTGTGTGACTAAGAGAAAGTTATTTAACTGTTTTGAATCTTAATTTCTTCAGCTCTAATATATGTATATGTATAAACACTGTATAGAATTGTTGTGATAATGAAAAGTATTAACACTTTAAGCATCTTGTACCTGGCAAATATTGGACACTACTCAAAAATTGGTATCATTCTCTTATTTTCTTCAGGCTATTTAAATTATCTTTGATTATAAATAATTGTATTGTACATTGCTTTAAAATATAAATAAACAAATCTATAAATGTATCACATACATACATATACAAACACACACTAAAGAATGCAAGCTTGTGAGATCCTGAGCACAAAAGTGCAAAAGGGCAAATGTTTTTAAAAGCTTTTCAATGATGACTTATGATCTATCATCTATCTGTCTATTTATCATCTACTATCTACTATCCCTTTACCTACTCATCTACCAAGCCACCTACTTATCTAACTATTATCTATCTACCTACCCAACCATGCTATGTTACGGGGAGAAACTCAAGTGTAAGCCATGATTTTCAAGTATAAGCAAAGACTACCCAATAGCATGCAATATGTTTAGAAAATTATCATAAGAACTGGTTGAAATTTCGAAGTCAGCTGATGACTTGGTGTTCCCTTTGGAATCACGTCTCTAGCTGTGGCCTGGTGAGCTTTCTTGGAATTCCTGCAAAAGATGGCTGTGTGATTGTGACAGTGTTGAAGAGCCAAGGGGCTATCCCTTTTGTCAAGACCAATGTTCCACAGACCATGCTCAGGTCTGGGTCAACTTCTCAACAATGGGGAAGACTGGCTTTCCTTTAGTCTGAGACCAGCTCCTGACTCTTCTCCCTTTGTAGGGCAAAGGCAGCTACTTTTCACATACTATGAGTTTACAACTATGTTACTCATATTTAAAGTGACCAAAATGTGATCCAAGGAAAAGCAATGTTCTGAAAATCCCAGTTGACAGAGTAACTGAGTTTAGGTCAAGAATCCTATAGTTTCATACACCAAGAAGAATATGAACCACAATCTCTACTACAAAGGACGCAAGAGAAGAATGGAATGGGCCTGGGGCAACAAACATTTGGCTCACTGGTCTTCAGAAAAACAGTTGGTAAACACCACACTAGACATTCCCAGATTCAATCTCATACTATTTAGACAAGTTGAGGCTGAACCATCCCATATAGTGCTCCTCTTATAAGTATTTTTAGAAAAAGAAATTCATTAGCCTCCTTTGCTCATTTGTACCAAGGCATAGGAAACCTTCATGATTTGGAAGTTTTCATGGGTAGCATTTTATTCTTTCCTTAAAGATGATAAGTACTTGTTCTTATCTTTATCTTAATATCCTTCAGATCCTTCAAAATCTTTACCACATGTTTTCCTTAGGAAGGGAGGAAAGTATCATTTCAGCTTTGAATGGAAATATAAATAATTTGAAGGGTATAAGAGGGTAGTGTATGTAGGTATAAGAGAATTTGGAAATGTAAGGGTATTGGAAAGAAATCTCAGCTGCCATGGGCCTAATTTCAGACCTTTGATCTCTTTCAGCTACGACAGTAGCAACGTGATCTTTGGAAAGACTCTACATCCCCAAAACCCCAAGAAAAGTCCTAGGGGTTCCTCCAGTGGGGAAGGAGCACTGATTGCTGGAGGGGGTTCCATCTTGGGCTTGGGCAGTGATTTGGGTGGAAGTGTCCGTGTACCTTCTAGTTTCTGTGGTATTTGTGGTTTCAAGCCTATAGGATCTCGACAGAGGTAAGCTGACAAACACATCATTTAGAGGATGGGAATTAATTTAAGGTTTTGAATAAAGTGGAGGTTACTTATTTTGGCTCTTTCTACATTCTCGTCTCATCAATAGATTATCCACAGTGACTCATACTCAATTCAATAGGATCTAGGCAAATAATTTAGTCCTTTGCCATTAAGAACTAGATACTTTGCCACCTGAAGTCAATCCACCATCTTTGTGAAATGTCTCAGTCACTCTGTAATTAGGGCTACCATTGGAATCCTGTTAAATGAAGACTGTTTTTTTGTGCTCCATGAGTATTAGTAGCTTTCCTAATCTTGGGCTGGTATCTCTTAGAATACGAGGGATACGATTATTGTCTTGATGTGAGGGGACCAGAATCCTGCTTGTATTAGTTGCAATTGATTTTGCCAAAGACTCTTACATTTTGCCAATTGTCAATACAACTCAGGCTTTTGCATAGTTAAGTCTGCATAGCTAAGTATCTCTTAGCTAAGTCTAAAACTAAAGAATGACCCTTTCAAGTTGACCCTGAAATAAAAGTAAACAAACATTTTAAAGATCATTGTCCATGATGTCCCAAGTCTTGTTTGGATAAGGAATATGCGTATTAGACCCAGGTGATAAAACTGGTGATATTTTGGCTTCTTTTTAATAATGTTGGACAGGCCTACTGTGAGGATCAGGTAAGCTATAAAGTACCATACAAATAAAATATTGTCTGTTAAATTGTGTTTCCAGAATTAGACGGGTTTCTATAAATAAATTGCTTTCTAATGTGTTTTAGTCCCACAATAAAGGCCCATCAAGAGATTGATGGGAGCAGGTTTTCATTTTCCTAATTGTCTAGAGAATTCTAATAATGGATCCCCAGACAAAGCCTATTTTTTCATTTTCCCTGAATGGAGTTTGCCCATATTTAGTAAGGGTGAAATTATTGTAAAATATTTATATTATCCAGACTACTTAATATAGATCATGTGGTTAATATTACCAACTGCTGTTGGTTAAAACAAAAGCAGTGAGCCATACACAGAACACTGACGGGTGATCTATTTGATACCCATCGATCACTTGTCCCCACTGCTTGTTTATCTTAGTGGTTTATTCATTATCCTGTTAATAGAAATATTTTCTTAGTAGATTCTGCAGCATGCTATGGTTGCTTGTTTCTAATTTTTACAGTGTTTAGATAATTGCACCTTCTTAATAAAAAATCTAAATTCTCTGTGCATAATTCAAGTTCATTAGATCATGCTGATCTTTGTATATAAGTGAAATTGCTACAATGAAACTCCTCTTTCTACTCATTTTCCCCCCATGTGTTCTTTTCCTTTTATTTTCCTATGTCGTGGTCCTTCTTTTCTGTTATGATCTGAAATATAAGTTGGGAGAGTATTTTTCCTAACTATTCTTTTCCATAACCTCTTGCCACCAAGCCGAAAACTTCTTGAGGATGGAAACCATGCTGTTCATATTTGAATCTATCATTTTAGTTGCTTAAACTCCATAAGTGCTCGATAATTACTTTTGGATTATGTAAGTGATTGAACAGATTATATTTAATAAATTATAGAAAAATTAATAAATGAATAACGTTGGTCTCTAATACCTGGCAAACATTTATTTGATAGCTTACTTGGTATGTCTGTTTCCGTGGAAGGCAGGGACAGTGGTAAGCCCCTTTACTGATTGTAAGTTTTGTATCAAATACATCGATATGAAGTCATCTTATCCAGCCACACGTAGTTTACTCTTCTGTAAAAAGTTAAAGAAGGGTAGCTCTTCCAAGAAATGTTTCTCGATTCAAGATCTGTGTGAGGAGGCCCTCCTATATCTCTCTTCTATACTTTGACTTATTTCTATACCCTAGTTTCTCTCCGAGCTGGTGATTCATAACAGGCATTCAATATATGCATATGAAGAGACTAAAGAGAATTTAAAAATCATAGAGTCTAGAAACCACCATATCAATTTTCTTTCTTTATGAAAGTATGTCCTAGACTTTTGCAAATAGGTCTTGATACGGATTGACTTTGAGCTTCAGTACAACAATGAGACTCATTATCATAGAATTTTAAGGTCCATTGATGGTGTTAACAGATGAGCTTAATTAGGAACTCTTTTTGCAATCAGTTATGCCCAAAATAAAATTTTAAGTAGGAGAAGAACAGAAGAATGTCTAGACCAGGACTTTGGGCAGACGGAAAATGTTCAGATACAGAACATGTAGAATTTGGTATAATTGTCTAGGAAGTCACTTTTCCCTGGAACACAGAATGGCAGAGGGACATTAAAAAAAAAAAAAAAAAAAACTCTTCCCAAAACCTAGGGGATTCCTGAGACAGTCATGGAGTACTGGAGGCAGGAGTGTTAATCCTCACTCTCAGGGTATATGTAAGGGGCGTCCAGAATGTGATTTTCTTCTTTCACTTTCAGTGACTGCTGCTTGATGGCCAGGGATGTGGACAGCCTAGCCTTGTGCACGAGGGCACTGCTGTGTGAGGAACTATTTCATCTAGATCCCTCAGTGCCACCTCTCTCCTTCAACGACGAGGTAAGGCAGAGCAATCAGGTCTTCTTGGGAGGTGAGTTCTTAAGATATTCTCCTCTAGGCAAAGTAGTCCCCACTAAAATGGGAATCAGGGCTCAGATTCAATCCGGTTTGTATCATCGACACATGAAGTGAAAAAATTGGGGAAGAAAGTCTTGATGCACGTTGTGCCTCAGTTTTCGTAATTTGAACATAGCGGAAATCATCCTATTTTTCCACCTATTCCAGAAAGATGAATGAGTCAGAATTACTCCACCCAGGAGCCAAAATGCCTGAGTTCGAATACCAGTTTTGTTACTAGCAACCTGTATGACCTTGAGCCAGTTATTTAACGGCTCTCTGCTTTAGTTTATTCATTTGTAAAATGGAGATGTTCATGGTACCCACCTCATGGCATTGTGATGAGGGTTATATGAGTTAACACGGTAAGTGCTCAACAAGTATATCAGGTCAGAAGAGATGTCAGTGAGTAACTGGGACTTGCTCACTTCTAGAACTACACAGCCCTCTAGAGTTCTCATTATAGAACAACAGCTTGTGTGTCATCCAGCAGAGAGCCCTGTTGGAATGAAATGCCCACTAGGGGCACAGGATGTTGAAACACTCCTATGGGAGCTGGCACTAAGGTTGAATAGGGCTTCCCAGGCACTGCTCCACTTACTCACTGTGATCTATCTTTGACCTATCTTTCTCTTTAACCTCTGGAAGTTTGCCTTGTATCTGGAAAACAGGGCAATCTTTCCAGTCTCCTCCAAGTAGCTAGTCTAATCAGCTGGAAGATACTGAGGTTGACCTACCTCTCAGCTGCTCTTGCCTTGGGTTTGAGGCATTTACCCTGCCCCAGCTAGAATCCGGTCATGGCTGTTATTTGGCACTGCAGCTTACATTGTCCGGTTGGCTGCTTAGGGTTATGTTGCTCATGGTAAAGGCATCAAGTGGAACTAATTGACATGTTTGGGAATTAAACCTGAGAACTTGGCCTTCGTCATTGTGCTTGGTAATTCCAGGTACTGCCCAGCTGCTTGAGAGAAATGATTATTTTAGAGTTATTATATCATTTCTACTAAAAATAAAAATAATAGGCATCACTTGTGAGTGTCTCCCATATGGTAAGTAGAGTGCCATGAATCCTATAGTAACCCCAAAAGTTAGATGTCATTATTGAATTTTTGGAGGCAGTAAGAGACTCAGAGTTTAAGGATATTAAATAATCTGTCCAAGTATAACTAGTTAGCAGCACGTGGGGTTTGAATCCATGTAAATTTCTTGTCATACACCAAGCTACCAATAAGAAACAAGAGAAATATTTTGCTGAAGTCTTTCTCTTTCCAACTGACTGTAACTAATAATGTTTTCTTAACCATATTTTCTTCCCTGTGATATGTTCAACTCTTCCTGTATGTGTACTCTAGATCCAAGCCCCTGTGTATTGGCTATTATGAATCAGATGGTTTTAGTCAACCAACTCCCAGTATGAAGAGAGCTGTCCAGCAGACAAAGAAACTACTAGAGAAGGCAGGACATGAGGTAATCAATTGCCTATGACTCTGGCCTAAGGAAAAGAGCCAGCTCAAATGTGGACTATTTAGTTAGCCAATAATCATGCCTCTATTAATTTCATATACCTATCCTTAGACATTGTTTTAATTCATTAATAATTGATTAATTTATTAAACATCAACTATCAGTACTATGCTTAATTTGTGCCATGCTCTCACCTAGGTAATAGGAATAATATAAGCAAAATCACCCATCTTTTGTAGCTTATATTCTACTTCAACAAAAATGGACAATGAGCAAACACATATATAAGTGATGATAAGTGTTACAGAGAAAAATTAAGGCAGTAAGGGTGATAGGAAATTCTTAGACAAGAAAGTGGTGAAAATTTAAGTAGATTGGACAAGGAAGGCGCCTTGACATTTCTAAGGCCTGAAGAGTGAGTTATAAAGATAACTGTGGGAAAATTATTCTAGGCAGAGGAAACAGTAAGTGCAAAGGCCCTGAAGCGAGATCTTCCCTAATATTTTCAAGAAACAGCAAGGAGGCCAGGGTGGACAGAGTGAAATATGAGTGAGCAAAAGAGTAGTAAGAGAGATGAGGAGAGAGAAATAACAGAAGGGCCAGATTGTATGGAGCTTTGAAAGCTATTTTAAAGAAATTGGTTTCTATTATAATTACTATGAAAGCCAGAGAGGGATTTGGATCATAGAAGTAATATTATTTGGTTTATGTTTAAGAAGGATTACTATGGCTGTTGTGTTGAGAAGTGATGGTGGGAGAGGGACAAGGGCTTAAGCAGAAACCAGTTATGGCCCTATTGCAATAATGTAGGCAAGAGATGATGGGAGTGTGAAAAGTGTTAGAATCCTGGTTAATTTTTGACTAGAGCCCAAGGACTTCCTGATGGATGGTAAGTGTTGTAAGAGAATGAGAGATGTCAAGGATAACTCCAAGGTTCTTGACCCAAGCAACTGGAAGGGTGTAGTTGCAATTCGCTGAGATGGAGAAGACGGTGGGAGCAGAGAGATTGCAGAACTAAAGATGTCGGATTGTGATATGTTAAGTTTATGATGCGTATTAGACATCCATGTGGAGAAGCAAATAGGCAGGTTTCTGGAGGTCAAGAGAGAGGGCCAAGCTGAAGATGTAAATTGGGGTCATCAGCATGTAGATTATATTTAAAAGATGTGAGAACTTAAGAGGTCTCTAAAAGACTAAGTGTAGATAGAGAAGTTCCAAGTTCTAATGACCTGGAAAATACAGAACTACAGTAGGCATTAGCCAGAGACGACTACTAAAGTTAAAATTTAAATTAATTAAAATTAAATAAGATTAAAATTTAGTTCCTCAGTTGCAATTGCCACATATCAAGTGCTCAGTGGCCACAACTGGCTAGTGGCTACCTAATTGGAGAGTTCAGCTGTAGAACATTGCCTTCATGCAGAAGATTCCACCAGGCAGCTATTGTAAAGATTGGGAAGATGAGACTCCAACAAAGGAGACTGAAAAAGAACAAGTGTATGATCCTGGAGGCTGAATGAATATGGTCCATCAGGAAGAATAAAGCAATAAAGTAGGCCAAAATGCTGTGGATAGGTCTAGCAAGATGAGAACTGGGAGCTGGTCATTGGATTAACCAATACAGAGGTCACTAGCAATTTTTCTTCCATGATTGGAGCAAAGATCTGATAGGAGTTGGTTCAAGAAAGAATGGGAGAAAAGAATGAAAAAAAAAAAAAAGAATATTAACTGCTCTTTCAAGGATTTTTGCTGGCAGCAGAGAAAAGGTGCTCATAGCCGGAGAAGGAATATGGGATTGGTAGAACATTTTATCTACCAATGTTAGTATGTGTATTCTGATGGAAATCATCCAGCTTGAAGAGAAAAACCTGATAATATAGGACAGGGGGAGATGGAGAGAGAAGGAAGGAGGAAGAATATATAACTGGAGCAAGTCCCCTGAGTAGGTGAGAGGGCATGGAATCTAGCATACAAGTATAGTGGTGAATTGGATAAAAACTAAAGAAAAGTCAGATGACATGGACACAAATGAGAATAGGTGGTTAAATATGGTTATGTGATGTTGTGGAAGTTCTCTTCTTATTGTCTCTTTTCTCAAGAAAATAGGAACCAAGGTCATGGGCTGAGAGTAAAGATAGGGATGGAAGCATTGGAGGCTTGAAGAGAGAGGAGAAAGCATAAAAGAATGATTTGACAAAATGGGAGAGTGAATGGACTAGGAATGTGATGCAATTGTTGAGTGTACTATTGAGCATTCTCTTATGGTTAATGGATATGAATATAGAGTGAGAACATGTAACATGGATATATATTTTAGTCCAGCCATCTTCACTTGCATTTTGTGGGAGTAGGTAGAGAGTTGAATTTAACCAGGATAAGCAAGTACAAAAAAACAAGAGAGTTCAGATTATAGAACAAAGGGAGTTATTATAGTGAAGGATTATGAATTTTAGGCTCTGTCATGTGGCAAGTGAGGACATGAGGGCAACAAGGGACAGTGTAATGCTGGTAGCATCAATATACTGTGTGTCCTGGTTGATGAAATTGAAAAATGTAGCAAGTGGAGTG